TTGAATCTTTAATCTCAAGAAGACAAAATATTTACAAGACAAGGAGTAACATTAAATCAAAGGTTTATTGGTTGCTAAACCAAATAATAAGGGTTTATATGTTGTCCTAAAATCGATTTATTTGTGTTTATCGCGTTTATTTTTCATGTTATTGGTTTTCAAGTCATTTTCAAGTTCTTGTTGAAAACTAAATAAGGGTAACACACTAATTTCATATTGAGTCCATGTCCTGACCTCCTAGACACCAAGCAAAAGGATTGACTTCGCCCCAAACTGACTTGACGAGGAATCCATTCTCGCGAACACCCTCTTTCCTTTGGCTCAAATCCTAGCTTTCTCCTCTGGCATTGACTTAAAAAAGTACTTGCTGAAATGAAAGTGCCACGGAAAGAAGGGCGGAGAGATCTCTATCTATGAAAGAGAAAAGACCCGTAGTGCCATAAATTGTCCATCCTAGGGAGTTTGTTTCTTTTATATCTGAAAATTACCATGTTTTTTCAATATACATTTGCACATAAGGCGACATTGCTTTGTTCTTCATTTTTATGGTTTTCTCTTTGCAGCTCATCACCAATGACAAGTTCAAAAGCGTGAATCACAGAGTACTTGCAAAAACAGTAGGCCCAAGAATTTCAGTGGCAAGTTTTTTCAAAATGCATTTTCAGGATGAGTCGGCGCCGCGATTTTACAGCCCAATCAAAGAGTTATTATCAGAAGAAAACCCTCCAGTCTATAGGGAGACCACCAGAAAAGAGATTGCCACCTCTCGCTACAGCAAAGGGCTCGATGGAGTTCCTTTACTATCACACTTCAAATTGCATAAATAGACCTGTGGAGTAAGGCTGTGAATGGTCCATGGCGTGTTGGTTTGTGTCTGTCTCTTCAAGTGTGTCGTGTAAAATTTTGCTCAACTCATGTTCAATCCATTTTTAGTTGTCTATTTGCTGGAGTTTGATCTTTAATTGGGTTTATGTCGAGGACTGTGGATGGTTATTGATAAGATTTGGCAGTTTATAGGGTGGTTGTGTTTCTTTTGGTTTCTCATCATTTTCTTGGAACTCTAGTCCCCAAATGTTGTAATGAAATTCATGCTGTGGGGAACATTGGATTATATGATCCCAGCAGAGTAATGTTCAAAGGGTCCAAGATTTCATTAGTTTTCCAGACAGGAGGTGGAACCATAAAGCAGTTGAGGCCAATTTCTCACCAGAAATTGCTCAAGAGATCCTTGCAATTCCCTTAAGTGAATGTCCCCAGGAGGATAAGATAAGATAAGATGGGCTTATACGAATAATGGGGTATACTCAGTAAGGAGTGGACACCATTTGCGATCCAATGGAGTAAAGATATCCCAAGCTAGAACAAAGGCATCCTCTTCCTATCAAGTACCTGAAGACTTATGAAAAACCCTTTGGAAAACTCAAGTCCCCCCCCCCCCCCCCCCAAAATACAGTCTTTTATGTGGAAAGTTGCAAATGGGGCCTTACCAACTAAATGGGGTTTATGGAGAAAGAAAATTTCTAATAATCCCATTTGCCCAGTTTGTGGGGAGGAGGAAGAGACAATCGAACATCTTCTATTATTATGCCCGTGGACTCACAATGTATGGGAGATGTGCCCTTTATATATTAGGATTGACAGATATGAGGTGAATAGAATAGAGAATTGGTTGATGAGCAAACTACACATGATGAGAGGTAGAGATGAAGGAGAAAAGGAGGGCCAGATTGTCCTGGTTTACTTGTGCTAGTTCATATGGAAAGTAAGGAATGAGTGGGTATTCAATCATCAACGGCCCAATTGTAAAAATGTCATTAACAGAGCGGTGCAGGCTGTGGAAGAGTTAAAGGGTAGTTGGGAGACAAGGATAAAGACCAATATTTCTTCGATATCTGTAGGTATTGCCTGACAACCACCACCTGTTGGAGTGCTAAAGATTAACTGCAATGGAGCTTTGTTCCAAGAGATAAAAGAAGGAGCGTTTCTGTTTTGGTCCGTGACTATGAAGGACACGTTATCTTAGGCGAGGCTCAAAGGCTGGTGGCATCATCCGCTTTGGTTATCAAGGCCCATGCAATCAGGAGAGCATGTAAGTTAGCAGTGGAGCAAAGGTATGATATAGTAGTTATTGAATCTGACTCGAAGCAACTCATTGACTCCCTGCATAAAGGCTATGGAGATTGTCTAAGGAAGATTGCACCTATCCAGCAAGATATCAGGAACTATGCGATACTGGTTCCCTCCATTGAGTTTCATGCAGTAAGAAGAGATCAAAACAAGACGGCTCATTGTTTAGCAGCTCATGCCAAAAGAAGTCTCGTTCACTTTCAAGGGATGGATGTTGTACCAAGAGTTTTGATGGGTATCATTAGGAAAGAAGCCAGAGTTGGAATAGGTTGAGTGCAAGAGTTTGCGATGGCTGTTGGGTTATATTTTGTTTAGTTAATGAAATTATATTTTCTTGACCAAAAAAAAAAAAACTATTCCAAAAGTCATGGGTGTACCACAAGGTTTGACAAATAGGCTGTGTGCCCCCACTGGCCCAAAAGTCAGATCACCAAACCATGGGACTATCAAATGGTAGCCTGTGGTGTTAGTCTTTGGGCTGAGCCATTGTCTAATAAAATCAAACGTTTTAATTTTAAATAAATAAAAAATTTGGAGGTCGGTCTCTCTATATAGACTTATTTGAATATAAATCCGACAAGGAAATTTATTTGGTTTTAAGTCCAATTTTTGTCAAGTTTACTATTGTACCCTTACCATTTGGAAAAACAATATCTGACGTATGACTTACCGTCTCTTTCACATAGGTTAGATCATTGAGGTATATATATGAAAATCTTTGATTGAGTTATATAAGGAAACCGTTTATTAAATATTATGATAATTAACGAAAGTTTTATATGTAAGTTATATATTCTGATAGTTATATATGGAAGCTTGATGTACGAATAAATTGTTGGTCTATTAAATCAAAATCAGATCACAAAATTTCTTTAACAACACTAATACATAATATAAGGAGGTTGAACAATGCCAACATAGTTCAATAACATAAATGTTAATATATAGTAAGATTCATGTTACTATATGATTGAAGTTACAATTAGGGTCGTGTTACCAGTACAGTCGTGTTACTGTACTGACACTAATATTATTGTAGTGCATTTTAACATACAATTGCAAACCTTGAGACGTATATTATATAACATACACTTTAATATTCACAGTAACATCAAAGTTTTGTGCTCAGTAACACATCTAATTTTATAAAATACAAGACAATAGTTTTTTTTATAGTAACATCAATTTTCGAATGATTTTAGTGAAAATACGATCTACAAATTGAAAATTTACAAAATGATGAGTAGTAACACACAATCGACAGTTAAATTGCGACACTTAACACCAATTGTGAACATTTTTTCAATTCACGTACAGTAACATGAACTTTTTCCACAATAAGACAACTAAAGAAGGAGTAGGCTTCAGTACCAAAAACGTAAAAATGGGTACCATACTAAAAAGTTAAAAGAACCGGATGCTCGCCACGTGTACACTCCAAATCTTATAAAAACCTATAACCGGTTTCGGTATATACTTTAAAAAATTTTAAATGATAATTATTTATTATATTTAAACATGAAATAAAAATATAAGAAAAAAATTACAATTGGGGTTATTGAGTGAACATGAACATGAACCCTGTACACTTTAAAAAATTTAAACATGAACCCTTATACACTTTAAAAATAAGTGAATATGAACCCTTATACACTTTAAAAATAAGTGAACATGAACCCTTTTACATTTTAAAAAATTTAATCATGAACCCTCAACATTTTAAAAGTAAGTGATAATAGAAATTAAAATGATAATTATTTATTATATTTAAACATGAAATAAAAATATAAGAAAAAATTTACAATAGTTGGGGTTATTAAGTGAACATGAACTTGAACCCCTATACACTTTAAAAAATTTAAACATGAATCCTTACACTTTAAAAATAAGTGATAATAGAAATTAAAATGATAATTATTTATTATATTTAAACATGAAATAAAAATATAAGAAAAAATTTAAAATATTTGGGGTTATTGAGTGACATTAAAAATACCATTTTAGATTAAGTTAAAAATATTAGGAGGTTAGGTTAGATTATCTAAGTTCACCACTATTTTAAGTGATAACATAAATTAAAATTAGTTTTAAAAAATGATAGTTATTTATCATATTTAAACCTGAAATAAAAATATAAGGAAAATTTTACAATATTTGAGTAAAATTGCCATTTGTTGGGGTTATATTTTGGGTTAAGTTAAAATTAGGGGTATAAGTGAAATTTATTGGACATGTCTTGAGCGATCGAGATTAGCCCGTAACATCTTGATCGAGATTAGTTCAGCGAAATTATTTTGCAACTTGATCGCTACCGATTGCTACATACGCAATCGAGATTTTTGTTAGCGATCAAGAGATAACTCCAAAGTCTCCAAGTTGATCGCTCAAGACTCTCAAGTCTCTCTCAACTCCCTTGTCTTCTATTTCCCCAAACTCCTCAAAACCCTAAATCAGCGATCAAACCCCAAATCTAACCCAAATAGGTGAAAAACCAACCTGATTGCATACCAAAACCCTAAATCACAACCATTTTTGGATCAACCACCTCCCAAATCGGTGAAAATCCAAACTGGTGAAAACCCAAAACCCCAAATTGGTGAAAACCCAAAACCCACTCCCACCGGCTTCATCTTCTCCAAGGTTCTTTCTTCTCTCTCTCTCTCTCAATTTCATAATAATTTTGTACACATGGGTTGAGAATTATGTTTTTTGTGAATGATGGTTTAATGCTATTGCTCAAAAGTTGCTCAATTGTTTAATTGTTATTGCTCAAAAGTAATAGATAATGTTCCATGTTATTGCAGATTTTTTTCTTGTTACAACAAAGTATAATGACCAAAAAGTATAGGCCAAAAGTTAATACCAGTGAAAAAATGAAGAGGAAGGAGAGCTGTAATGAGGGAGGTCCCTCGAAGAAGAAGAAATGTAATCATCCTCCCTCCGTTGATCCGTCCTCAATAGTTAATCCCACCTCCACCAATCCAATTGATCCCATTGTTGATCCCACCTCCACCAATCCAGTTGATCCCTCCTTCAATACATCAAGTTCACCCAACCCCAATCCAAACAAGTTCATCCAATGAAGACATATCTTTCTTCAATGATGATTGCAAACATCGGTATGATAATTACTTTTATAATAGACCTTTGTTATTGGAGAGGGGTGTTGTACTGGATGAATTAAAAGATGTAGGATTAGATGTTATTTTTGCTCTTCATCGATGAAATTCTTCAGTTCATATCAAGAAGATGGATAAAGCATATAATACATTGGTGAAGATATTTTATTCTAACCTGTATGATATTGATCAAGTTAATCACAAGTTTAAGTCCCTTGTGAGGAAGGTGAGTTTTGAAGTAACCCCAGATTTAGTTTCAAAAATATTGAGTTCATCGACCTTTCCTTCATTATGATACACTTTCTTATCCAGTCAATAATTCTAAACCACATACCTAAGTTGGAAGATGTTTATACAGAAATCGAGGGTATACCTAATAATTTTAGTGAGAGTGTTACTGATCCATCATTTTTTCAGCAACACCTGACTCCTAAATATAGGATTTTAAACCTTATAGTAGGGTACAATATTCGTCCAATTGCACAAAATGCTGATTTTGGACTTGATCAAGCGTATCTCCTGTATGCCATTGGAAAGGGTATGAGTATAGATCTACCTTGTTTAATAATTGATGAAATTATTTCGGTACACGGTACGAATGATAGTCGGAAATGTCTCTCATTTTCAATTTTGATTTCAAAGATTATGAAGAATTGTGGAGTTTTGATTCACTCAAGCGATGCTTATTCTACTCCTATGAATCCAATTAATGGTGGGACAATAAAAAAGAGTTTGGGACAAGAGAAGAATTAGAAAACTTAGCCACAACAGAGTTTGGGGAAAAAGAAGAATAAGAAAACTCAGCCACAAGTTGAAATCCATAATGAAGTTGCACCTGAGGATAATATTGCAACCCAAGCTGTCCCAAATTCTTCCACAAGTGGTCTTCCTTCATTGGATGAACTATTGTCTATATATGCATCTGTGATGATACGAATGGGAAGAATGACGGAGGAATTTGGAATTACTCAAAATGAAATAAAGGAGTCTCTCAAGGTGATTGATAGTAGGTTGAATAAAATTGATAGTAGTTTAGATAAAATAGATAGTAGGTGGGATATAATTGAGTCTTTTTTTATGAAAAGCAAAGAAATAGCTAGGAAGTGAGAATTATATGTAATTGTAGTTGTTGGTTGTTGATACAATAGTTGAAGTAGCAGTAGTGAAATGTGATGAAACAAATATATGCATATGGATTTCCATCTATCTTTCTCTCTCTCAGTTTTTGTGCATTATTCACTAAAGACATTTCTTATTATTCAGTGAAAGGTGGTGATAATATTATCTATTTTTCACTTTGTGATGATGAGGAAATATCCTACAATGTACAAGGAATTAATGTGATTGTGCCGTATTGTTTCCTTTGTTGTATATAATACCCGTATTATTATTTTCAACCCTTTTGTTTTGGGGATTATGGTGGATTTGAGGAGTCTTGAGAGAGACAAAGAACGGTCCAGTCTTTCAAAGGATCATGTAAAGAATTCAATTTTAAACGTCGAGGTTGATCTTCTCATTACAGTTTATTTCTGGTGCTTGGTGTTGTCACCATTGTGTCTAGCAGTGAGACTGAAACAAGGAACAAATTGTCATTAATGTTCTTGTTTGGAATTATGTAATATTTTTTTTAGTCAGGACTGTTAAGGGCTTTATGGGTTGTGCTTGGCATTTGCTGAGTCTTTTGGAACAAATTCAGTCTTAGTTGAGCAGATTACAGATTACAGTTTACTTTGGATTATGTTGATAGAGAAGCCGATTTTCAAGCTGATTTTATAATTTCAGGCTGAGTATACAGTTTACTTTGGATCATGGATTATACAGTTTATTGAATTTTCTGTAAGTGGCCAGCTTCCAGTGCTATCAGGTAGAGGCTGCAGGATCAAAGAGGTCTTCGTATTTTGCGCACTAAGACTTCTATGGTATTTGATGATAAAGGTTGAATAGGTGTTTGCTAGGGTGTTGTATGCAGTGAACTGGAATTGGTATCCTGTTGCTGTTGAGCTATTGCTGTTGGGCTTAGTATCCTGGAGCTGCTGAGTTACTGAGCTAGTGTTGCTGATTGCTGGGCTAGTCTTAGAGCTGTTGAGCTGCTTCTGCAGAGCCTCTGATGCTACAAAGTTGTGGTGTGGGCTGATTCTGAGCTGTCAATATCCTGCTGGATTTGGAGGGTGGAAGCTGAAGAGTTACTGCTTGGCGTATTTTTAGCTGGTTCAAGAAAATGTACCAGTTTTATCTGGTTTTTGTCTCAGAATTTGCAACAGAAAATCCGTTACAAAAACAAAAAATCTATTTTTTTGTAATAGTTTTTTCTGGTTTTGTTTTCTGTAAACAATTACTTTTTTATTTTGGTAAAAACAATGTCTGTAGTAATATGTTCCTCAAAAGTGATAATCCTCCCTAAAAAATGATGATATTACCCAAAAAAATGATAATCTTGCTTCAAATAATGGGTAATCTTATAGAAAAAAAGTGGTATTCTTATCAAATACAAGTGATAATTACACACAAAAATGTTGTAATCTTAACCACCCCAAAAAGTTGTAATGTTAACCAAAATAATTGTAATATTAACCAAAACAGTGGTAATATTAACAAAAAAAGTGGTACTCTCAACAAAAATCCATGGTAATGTTAACCAAAACAACATTAACTAAAAAAGTGGTAGTGCTAACCTAATCAATGGTAATGTTAACCAAAATAGTGGTACTCTTAACCAAAAAAGTGGTACTCTTAACAAAAAAATAGTGGTACATTTAACCTAATAAATGATAATGTTAAACAAAATAGTGGTAATGTAAACCAAAAAAGTTGTAATCTTAACTTAAACAGTGGTAATGTTAATAAAAAAAGTGATACTCTTAACCAAAAAAATTGTAATGTTATCAATAAAAATGGTACTCTTAACCAAAACAGTGATAATGTTAACCAAAAAAATGGTACTTTTAACTAGTGGTAATGTTAACAAAAAAAGTGGTACTCTTAACTAAAAAATGATAATATTAACAAAAAAAGTGATACTCTTAACAAAAAAAGTGGTAAGGTTAAGCAAAAAAATGGTACTCTTAACAAGTGGTAATGTTAACCAAAAAAATGGTAATATTAGCAAAAAAAAAAGTGGTACTCTTAATCAAAAAAACAGTAATATTAACAAAAAAAAAATGGTACTCTTAATAAAAATGATAATGTTAACCAAAACAATGTTAATCTTTCCCTCAAAAGTGGTAATCTTACCTCAATTAATTGGTAATTTTACCAAATAAAAGTGATAATGTTACAACCAAAAAGTTGTGGGAATGCACAATAAAACATATTTCGTTCGGCATTGGTGCATGAAAAATCATGGCTATGGCTTAGACTGTTATAATAACTTATAATAGTAGAAATTAACAAGCAATACTCACCAAAGCAACAAAAAAGCGAAGAGGGAAATATGTTTTAACAAGCAATACTCAACTCATAACATGTTTTTCCTGCCTTCTTTTTCGTCCAAAAAAGTAAAAAAAAAAACTTGGAATGGAGAATGTAAATTAAACCTTTTCATTCAAAGTTGCAAAAAAATTAAAATTTCTTCAACTCATCTTGCTCCATGATCTTGGTGCCCATTGTGATAGCATAAATTGATGGTTAGATGACAATGGTGGAAAAACAAAATTTGTGGGATAAAATTTGTAATTTTTGTAATTACCTCCATTGAAACTAGTGTTGATGTACTGTGATTGAATGGTAGAATCAAAGCTTGACATCCCATCCTAAAATAACAAGGAATGAGTACATATGAAACAAAAAATATAAACATCCAAAGAGTATTATATGAACCTATAGTTGAGGATACCCTCGTTGACAAAGGGAATGCAACGGTCATCCTCTTTCAATGATGGCATATATTGTTGCGATCCACCATGCTGTGAAAAAGACATGTGGAGTGGTTGGTTTGATTAACTATGTTGTGAAAAAGGAATGTCCTGTGGTGGCTGTGATCCAACTGGTTGTGAAAAGGGCACATCCTCGAATGGATCATTGGATTGAGACGTCAAGAGTGGACATTTTCTAACAGTATGGCCAGTGCCCCTGCATTTACTACATCTTTGCGGGTTGATTGAAATATTCTTTTGTGCACGACTATGATTACCTTTGGTTTTCACAATCTTTGGATCATTCACACCGAATTGTGTAGTCATCACATTTCATCGTGTTTGCCAAGTGACTCATGACGGGCTTTTAGAAGAGAAGTTTTTGTTGCACCATACTCCTCAGGTCATTTGAGTCTGAGAGCGAATGTGAACCGTCATAACACATTTGGCTGCACATTGACATAAATCCAGCATAACGCGTAGGAATTGACACATTCGACTACACGTTACCACATTCATGTGCATATTTATACCTAGATTTTGCTTTAATGGTCCACCTGTCCATCACAATGGTATGAGAAAACTCTTGTATGTGCTCATACTTCATGACCGCGATCATGTAAGAGCATGGAATCCCAAAAGACTCAAATTTCATGCAATTGCATTTAAACGCATCAATTTGAGGATAATATCGCACAATCCACCGTGATTCTGGTTTTGAACTCCGATGACTTTCAATCTCGATCTTATCCACTACAAAAAATACAGCTTCTTCTCGTATCTTATCACGGACCTTGAAGAAAATCTTTCTGGAATATAGAGCAACAACATGCTCCTCTAAGCATCTCAGTGCAGTCTGCATCACTAGCCTCGAATGTTCCGACTCAAAGTCATCATTGGCCTCAAACTCCCTGATTCTTGCCAAGCCCCTGTCATAATGCCTAACAAACTCGAATAATCATTGGCTTGTTTTTAGAAAGCGTTTCAGGTAGGCATTCATACTCTCCAATCGTTGCGTGCTTTTTAAGCCGACAAAAAATTTTCCTCGCAAGTACGCTTCGGCCCATTTGAATCG